CGCCTGGGTCTGGCCACCCCGCGACGCCCGTCGGGCCGTTTGCGAGGAACCAGCTGCTTTGCGGGTCGTGAGGCGCGCTTGTCTACCGTCGGGGCGCTGCAGAAGGAGCCCTCGTTCTTTTGGGAGGGGCTCCGTGTTCCTTAGAGGAGGTGCTACTGTCTGCCTTGGGCCCACCTTTGCTTTCGATCGGGAATCGAAGTTAAGCTTAAGGAAAACAGGGGCCTCGCTCCTTATCTATCGTTCCTCAGGTCCACGCCCCGGCTGCAATCGGCCTCGGAGGGCCGCGGCTCGGCATGGGGCCGGGCGGGGCAGCGGCAGCCCCTCCCTTGTGCGTGGTCTTGCCGATCGGCAGGGGCCCTCGCACCTCCCCCCCCTCCCCCCCGCCCACCAAGCCACCTCAGCCCAACCCGAATGCTCCATCTTTCAGGAAGGAAAAAAACACACAGACACAATTAATCGTCGAGTCCCAGGAACATATAGGAAAATATGGGAAGTGGGGGGGAAGACACAAACCGAGAAACCATGGACAAATATTGGGAATCTTTTTATTTGTGTGTATTTATTTGTGTGTCCAGGGGCCCCTTCAATCTTGCCCTCCATTTCCAGTGGGGGGGCGTCGGGGAGCACTGGCAAAAACACACGTGGAAGCCGTACCCCCCCAACCCAAACTTTGGGTCTTCGGGTTCGGTTGGGGTGCTCTGGCAGGCAGTCCCTCCCTCCCCACCAACAGCATTTCCTGCTCGGCTTGATAGCAGGGCTCGCTGTCCGCGCCGCTGCGGGCTCTGTTCCTCCGAGGCAGAAGGCCGCCAGCCCAACAGCGGCCGGTGCCGGTGTTGGACAACATCTGTTGTCGGGCATCGTGTCCATGTGTTTCCGTATCCACTTCGGGCGTCCAGCCAGCCCCATGGAGTAGATCTTGGTCGTTTTTGGCGCCTGTTTCAAGCAGGTGGGGGTAAGCACGGGGGCACCGCCTCTCTATGGGATTCCCCATGGTGGCACTGTTCCAAGCAGTCGCACTAAGCAGAGGTGCAGAGCCACACCCCCCTTCCTCCCACCCCCTCCCCTTTCGCTCAACGTCGAAAGGCCGAATCAGAAAACGTTCGCTATTCTCTTCTCGAACACAAGAACCCCGTATCTTAGGTTAGGTTCCCGCCTTTGCATTAGGGATGCAGTCAAACCTCAGAGTATGGATGCACGGATGTCCTCAGAGTGCCCTTGCGTCCTTGCCTCTGCGGCCCATCGTTCGCAGTTTCCACTGGCCAGCCCTTCAGGGTGCTTGCAGTCCGCCGCCCAAAAAGTGCCAGCTTCGGCGGCCAAGGCCCTTGCGTCCTTACCGCCCGCCCTTACTATAGATTTTGAATGTAATAAGTCTTCGCGATTTGCTTTGATGCATCTGCTGAAAAGACCCCCGTGTCCTTCACATTTTGGGCCTCTCAGCTTAGGTCTGTTCTTCTGAAATGGCTAGGGCTCCTTTAGTTGTTGATCGTATTCTGTACCGCGGCGCCCCGCAATTGCGGATCAGAGTTGTCAGGAGGCGCTGCAGAAGCCTGCCGCAGGCGCCCATTTTTTCCCACAGTGACGCACAAAGATGCTGTTGGTTCTTCCTGGAGGAGGTCTCCATTCGCCGAGACCGGACCCGCGTCGACAACTCGCCTTCCCGGGATGCGCCCCAGGAGGGGTCCGCCGACTCTGCGCGGACTCGGCCCGGGCGGGCCCTGAGAGCCGCCGCGTTGTGGAGGGTGGGGCAGCTGGATCGACCAGACGTGAGAGTGACCTTTCGCCAGAGTGACCTCTGGTGCGGGCTCCGTGGGGCCCCTCGATCGCGAAACGCGGAGCGGCAGCAGCGGCCTGCGCCGAGGTTTGGCCCCAGACACGCGACGTCCTGATTTTGTTCAGGGCGGCGTCCCTGGAAGTCCAGACCCTCTCCCCGGGGCCGGTGTTTCGTCCTGAATCGTTTTTTGACGGTCCCGAGGCCCGTCGGGGGTCCCCCGAGGCCGAAAACGGCCAAAAACCTCCCGTCCTGATTCTTTTTACGACGCGATCATGTCTGAGGCCACCCCGCGCCCCCCGTGCAGCCGCGCACCGAATGCCACTCCTGCCCAGGGCGCTCTTGCGCGCAGCCGACCGGGCGCTTCCAGCGCGGCCCCCGCCCCCTCCATTGGGCCGGGGGGGGGCAGAGCCAGACGTCCGATGCCTCTCTGCTTCTGTTCGAGTAGGGGTTCGACTGCGGAGTTTATCTAGCCCAGAATGAGTTTTCTCGTCGCATCTACGGACGAATACGCAGAATTCTCAGTCGACTTACGCACATTCTACGCAATCGTCGTAGATTCGACGAGAAAATCAGTTCTGGGGTAAATCAATTCTGTAGACGATCCCCTACTCGATCTGTTCTCCATACCCAGACCCCCGACGCCAGGATTTTTTCACAACGTCGACCCCCAGAGGCCTCGACCCATTCCCCAGGACTGGCTCTTCGTCCCGAGTCGTTTTGGCCAGGGCC